GTAACAGGAATAATAAGATCTTATTTATTTGATTTCTAGGAAGCCTAGATACAATAAAAATATTATACTTAATGTTGATGACTCTAAAAATATGTCTGTATTAATTAATGCAACAAACTTAAGCTAAATTTAGTGCCAGGTATTAATGCTATACTGAATGTTTCCCAGTTCATGCAAACCTGAAAGTCATTAGGGTTAGTTTCTTTTCCATTTCTGAGCATTTACATAAGTGCCTATTTTCCTGTAAGCCAATAAATAGAGCTCATTTACAGATTAATTTTGGCAGAAACACACATCTACAGCACACACATATAGATGCCATACAGATGCACCAACAGACACCCCATAGTTTTCATTTCAGAATTTCAGCCAGGAGTCAGTTACAATCACGTAAAACCCAACAGTTAGAAAAGAGGTTGGATTCAGATCACCTATCTCCCTTTTGTTCTCTCTTTCAGAGTTACCTTGCCTCCAGTGTTCAGTTTACTTTTTACATTTTTAAACATTCTTTTTCAATATTTGTTTGCTTATTTATCTGGCTTTGTCAGGTTTTAGTTGCAACACACGAGCTCCTTGCTGCTGCACATGGACTCTGGTTGTGATGTCCTGGCTCAGTCCTTGCTCCGATGCACATGGGATCTTAGTTCCCCGACTAGGGATTGAACCTGTGTCCCCTGCATTGGCAGGCAGATTCTTAACCACAGATACCACCGGGGAAATCCCTCAATGAGGCATTTTTGGAATTTGGAAAACTCTGGGGGCTTCTGCATACGAATGAAAATAGGAAAATGTGATGAGAGCTCTCTAAAATTTTATAATTTAGAAGTTTTTCCAATCCGAAAGATTCAAGAAGCTAGCCCTACAAATATTTTCCCTGCTAAGCTAATTTTTAAAAAGAGGAAAAACTCTTACCACTGTTGTTTCCAGTACACCCTCCAGGCAGAGGTCCAGGAGACTGCAGGCTTTTAACTGTGTGTGAAAAATCCGTTGTAGGGTGCTGAAAAGACCTATGTTGGCCATTTCAGGGCAGGATTTCCTTTAATTCTCAATTAAGTGGTTGCAAGTATACATAAGCCCAGCTGGTAGTCCCATCAGTGGCTGTCTGTACAGGAGCTGTTTGGCCTTTGAGGCGCAATTTCCCATTATTAATTTTGTAGCCTAATTCAGATAGGAAATACAACCTAAGCAACTTTCTGAGGGCACTGTGGCAAATCGCCTGTGTGCTGCTTCCGAATCTAGCAAGGAGTTACCCTGGATTACTTTTTTCAACTTTTTCCGTGTTTTAATTAAAAGATATTTTTTGGCTGCACTGGGTCTTTGTTGCTGCGCATGGGCTTTCTCTGGTTGCAGGGGTGGGGGCTGCTCTCTGCTTGTGGTCCTCGGGCTTCTCACTGTGATGGCATCTCTTGTTTGGGACCACAGGCTCCGGGGCTTGCGGGCCTCAGTAGTTGCGGCGCACAGGCTTAGTTGCTCCGTGGCATGTGGGATCTCCCAGACCAGGGACCGGATGGGGGCCCCTGCCTGGTAAGCTGGATTCTTAACCACTGGACCGTCAGGGAAGCCCCCAAGGCTGCTCTTGACTGCTTGTTTCTCCCAGGTCTCACACCGCCTCCCTTCCCTAATTAACAACTGCTTGAATCTGCCCCTTGGAACTCAGGGAAGGTCATGGAGGCTGAATGAAGGCTGTTTCCTAAAATCAGAGAAATGGGGGACATAGAGAGGCTTTGTGCCCAGGAGCCCCACAGGGCCCTGCTTGGTATCATTAAGAGCTGAATAACTCAGTCTGTCCTTTCACTAGCAAAAGTTTCTTTTCAGACCATATAGCAACTTGTTTAATTTTGAATTTAAGTCAAATTTAGCAAAAACCCAGCCAGTTATGTTTCCCTGGGCCTCTTGCCCAGGTCCTGCCTAGGAAATGCACTGGAGCCCCTTCAGATTTCAAACCTTAAGTGAAAACAGTGCAAATAAAATTTTCAGGATCATCACTCAAACAGTGAGAGCTGGGTAGCAGGAGAACTCATCAGGACACCTGAGAAGTATCAAGAAGCCCGGCGGGCCCGTGCTGGTTCTTAGCGTTGGTTCTGGCGGACTCCCGGTGCCCTCTGGTGGGTGACTGTCATATCCAGCCAGTTAACCCAGCACGGCAGATGAAAAGATGAATCCGTTGATTTAAGAAAAACATGGAGGGACTTCCCTGGCGGTCGAGTGGTTGAGTGGTTGAGAATTTGCCTGCCCATGAAGGGGACACAGGTTCAATCCCTGTTCTGGGAGGATCCCACATGCCATGGAGCAAGTAGGCTGGTCTGCCAGCACTATTGAGCCCATGCTCTGCAACAGAAGAAACCACTGCAGTGAGCACCACAACTAGAGAGTGGCCCCTGCCCCCCGAAACTAGAGGAAAAGGCACGCACAGCAGGGAAGACCCGGTGAAGCCAAAAATAAATAAAACTTTTAAAAGAAGGAAAAAATGGACAATTTTATTCTAGTCAAATTGAGTACTACTATAAGCCAGGAGCAGCCGCTCAGAAAGTCTGAGAACTGTTCCGCTTATGAGCGGTCCACACACCATTATATGCGTTTGTGAGACAGAGGGCCGTACATGAAATGACGCGTTACTGACAGTTTGCACGATCCAGGTGCAGAGCAAGTCGTGGGTCATGGGTCATCGTCAGGATTAGGAAGGTTACCTCCTAGGCAGGCGTGTTCAACCTCCTAGGCAGGCGTGCTCAATGCAGGCGCACGACAGAGACACACCAAGAGGGAGAGGAGTCCCAAACGGGCGGAGAACATTGTTCACGTTTGAATTTTTCCCCTCTTGCCGGAAAACATGGATCTTGCTTCATTGGTCTGTTGCCCTGCCCCTTGCAGGTCCCAGCCGCCGGTTCAAGCGGGTGGTGGAGACCATCCAGGCCCAGCTGCTGAGCACACACGACCAGCCGTCCGTACAGGCCTTGGCAGGTGGGAGGCACTTGGGGGACCTGCGGGGGCAGGGCAGTGGGGTGGAGGGGGCACTTCTGGGGGCCAAGTGGTACAGGGGCCTGTGTTACCAGCGAGGCTTCAGCTGCAGGGCTCCCAGGGAACAAGGCCTCCCCGAGCCTGAGAAGGCCTCGCCACGGAGGGAGGGGGCCTCCAGGGTCCCTAGGGGGCCACCGGTCTCTTGTTGGAGGTGGTGGCACTCCCTGCCACCGGAGGCTCCTGAACTATGTTCTGGAGGAGGGCGGCCAGCCGTCCCAAGGTTCCCGACACCAGGGACTCTCAGTGCTAAAACCAGGACAAGGCGGTCTCTGTCTCACAGACCCTTCTGGCCCTGGTGGGCCTGGCTTTCACAGCTTCGGGCCTCTCCCCGGGAGGGGGTGAGGTCTGTGCTCCAGGGGGAAGGGGCTTCTCTGTGCCACCTGGTGGTCAGGAGCGGAGTCCCCTAGCCACCAGGGATCACGGAGGTCAAGGTCACAAACAAACTCTGTGGTTCCTACATCATCAACTTATTATCACGCAGCCCTGGGGTCAGAGGTCCAACACAGATGAATGGGGCTAACCTCAAGTGGAGGGCTGTCCCGATAGGCAGGTAGAGGAATTCTGCCCTGTTAGTCTGCTTCTCCAGGGTGACCAGAAGCCAGGAAGGCCCCCTGAACCTTTCTAGACCCGGCTGCCAAGGAAAGATGGCCTTGACGGCCAGAGTTCCTTAAAGGGCACACCTTCAGAGATGTAGGACCCACAGGGACCCGGGGTCCGAGACTCGTGCCTTATACAGGGAGTGGGGCAGTGCGGGGACCTCCGACTGAGCCCCAGAGAAGGGCAGCCCTGGGGGTTGCTATGGCAGCATGGCCTCCAGCAGTCAGTGTCTCTGAAGGGGTGGTCTCTGGTATGGGACCTCAGGCCTTGTTTCGGGCCCCATGGAAACTGCTGCCTGACCACTGGGAACCAGCCCTGGCCAGGTCTGGCCAGTGGCCCAGTCATGCAGGCGCTGCTGGGAGAGCCGGAACAACCTGCTGGGGGCTCCCCAAGGCTCCCAAAGGGAAGGGGGCGCTTTGGCCTCGATAGGGGGCCTTGGAGAGTGCAGTAACCAGAGTCTCGGCTGTCTCCTGAGCTGGACCTACCAGGACTCCCTGGGGCTTGGTCTGGTCTCCACGGCCTCGGCCTGGAGGGCTGTGCCCTGTTGGTGCAGGGCAGGCAGGCCTCGTGGTGGTTGGCGTGAGTGAGCCCTGGCAGCCTTCCCCCACGCCCTCACCACCAGAGGTTTGGCACCCTTTCCTGAGGCCAGACTGCTTCCCCCACCCACTCCGCCCCTGCACAGACGAGAAGAACGGCGCCCAAACCCGGCCCGCCGGGACCCCACCCCGAAGCCTGCAGCCCGCGCCCAGCCGCCCAGACCCGGAGCTGACCAGCTCTCCCCGCCGAGGCCCCCCTAAGGACAAGAAGCTCCTGGCCACCAACGGGAGCCCCCTGCCCTGACCCCAGGGGGCCGGGGAAGGAGGGGCGCCCCCTCCACCCCCCTTCCCTGCCCCCCCAACTGTGAATCTGTAAATAGGCCCCAAGGCGTCCGTGGGGAGGGGGGAGACACAACACACCCGGCCCTGCCCTTCGGGGATGGGGCTCCGGGGGCCATGCCCAACGAGGGGGGGTTTCTGGGGGGACTGTGGGTGGGGGAGCCGTTTCTATTTTATTTATTGATTAATTTATTATTTTATTTATTGATCAGTCTCTCTGCGGGGTGGGGTGGGGGAGGGACAGGGGCTGGTTGGGGTGGCTTAGCAGATCCGGACAGACAGGGCCGTCCCCCAGTCCTGTCCCTCTCCCCCCATGACCTTCTGTACGGATTTGCTCTCCGGAAGGAATTCTGATTTCGCGTGATCCTGCCTGCGTCCGTGTCTCTGATTCCGCCGGCGGCAGCAACAACAAAAAATTAACAATAATAATAATAATAAATATCCTTGATCAGGGATGGCTGGCTGGCCTTGGCCTCTCGCTTCCTGGGTGGCCCCGACTGCGGGGGCGGAACCAGATGGCAGGGACAGGAGGTGTGAGGACGCCGCTGGCTGACCGGTGGTGCACAGCTGGACGGCTGTTCACAGCTGCACGTGCAGGGAGGTGGGGGAGTCCGGCGGGGGGCGGAGGCTGCCAGAGCCTGGCTGGAGGCACAGGGTGCAGCCGTCCAGGCGGGAGAAGTCCACGGCGAAGAGGCCGAAGAGGATGAACAGCAGCATGGCGACGACCCACTCGCAGATGGCCGAGACGGAGCGCATCGACCAGCTGTGCAGGACGACCACTGGGACCAGGGTCAAGGGCGCATGGCCACAGGGAGGAGCGGGAGCCGGCGGGGCGCCCGGGGGCCCGACAGGCGGAGCCTGGCCTGACACGCCCGGCTCGCCCCAGCAGGAGCAGCCCCTCTAGCTGGGCAGCCTCCCCCTCCTCGGCAACTACTCCCAGACGCTCTCAAAGGGGCCCTCCTGTCCCCCCTCTGTCTCAGTTGCTTCCCAAACATTTCCCATCGCACATTCCTCCTGTTTGTGGCAGCACTCCCACCGTCTCAAAAATCCTCCCACCTTTAGGGTGTCCTAAAGATACTCTCTAAAGAATTCGCCTGCAGTGCTGGAGACCTGGGTTCAGTCCCTGGGTAGGGAAAATCCCCTGGAGGAGGGAATGACCATCACTCCGGTATTATTGCCTGGAGAATTCCCATGGACAGAGGAGCCTGACAGGCTACAGTCCCTGGGGCTACAGAGTCGTGTCGGCTCAGTCGTGTCGACTGAGCAAGTAACACTAAAGTTGCCCTCGCACCCGCCCGCCAGCCTGAGGCTGAGCTTGCAACTTTCTCCCCCCACCTGTGGCTCACAAGCCCCTCCTGCTCACTCGCAAGCAAAGGCTCACCTTCTTCCTAAACTCTTCCTCTTTCCCGGAGCCCCCACCTCCATGACTACCCCATCCATTCCGGTGCCCCAACCGCCTCCCATCTCCGCCCCCTGGCCAGCTGGTCACTCCAAGTCTTGTCTGTCTTTCTCATCTCTTTCTGGTCTGGCGTCTCTACTGACCAGCCTTATCCCTTCTCCAGCTCCGCAGTCCCAGCTGTTTATAAAATGTTTCTGTGACCACTGGCCAACACACACCCCCAGCTCCGGCCTGGCAGAGACGCCCCTCCTTTTCTGGGACCACTGCCCACCTCACTGAAGTGCTCCTCCTCTCGGCTAACCCAGCCCCGACTCACCTCTCCTAGATCAGACTAGACATCGTTTCGTTCATTCAACGATTTTTAGACAGTGAGGAAGGCCAGTACCATCCCCTAGCCCCACTGATCCTCAGACAAAATGTGAGCCCGCAAACACAAGTGCTGACCCCAGCCCTGACCTTGTACCTCCCCTGCTCACAAGGTTTCTGGGGCTTCCTGTTGCCCTCAGGCAGAAGCCCAAGCCTGTAACCCCTCACTTTTCCACAGGAGAGCCTGACCTCTGGCCCTGCCAGCAGCCTTATCGCCTCCCCTGGGCAGCTTTCCTCCCCCCTCACCCCCACCCTGCAACCATGTACCTGAAGAGGCAGCCCCCCCCCAACCCGGCACCAACCTCCCAACACAGGCCAGTTCTGCAAGACCAGCTCAAAGCATAGCATGTCTCAGAGCCCTCCGTGGCCATCCAGCCCTTACCACTCTCAACTGACCATCTTACAGTCCCATCTCCCCCGCCTCCCCACAGTCAAGGGATGTTTGGGGCCCCCAGGACGAGGACCCTGAAGCCAAACGGATCATGAGCACAGGCGGGGCTCAAGAGGGGCCGCCTGGACCTCGTGGTCAGTTTCGCCCGCCACCACGGAGGGCCTGCGCTGGTTCTGCGGCTGCAGTTGCAGAAGGCTGAGTTCAGGAGCAGCCCTTCCCGCCTGTTTCATGGGATCCAATCCGACGCTCTGGGAAACCGGATCACCACCTCCAATTTGCTGGGAAAGTGGATCCAAGTCTCCGAAGGGATCTACTGAGGGCAGCCCACCCAGGGCCTCGCTGGTTCCCCCTAGCCCCTTCCGGATACCAATGAGCTCTCGAGCACCCCTTCCCTCCTGTCCCCACAGGGGGCAGCCGTCCCCAGGGCTGACCCTGCTCTCCCTCAGGGCACTCTGCTAATCAGTAGCAATCACTGTTCTGATAAAGGCAAGGCCATTCCACAGATAACGGAAACTGGGACTCCGAGACTGGTTTGGCTCGAGAAGCGGGTTGGAGTTGAGGCTCCACCCAGAGGCATGCTGGTAAACGTGTGACAACCAGCTCTGATTTGTAAAACACGTCAGTTTCTGGGGGAGAAACCACGGCCATCTCCACCATTTCAAGCTGCTAGCGTGGCTTCCCAGGTGGTGCTAGTGGTAAAGACCTGGCCTGCAAATACAGGAGACCTAAGAGATGCAGGTTCGACCCCTGGGACAGGAAGATCCCCCGGAGGAGGGCATGCCAACCCACTCCAGTATTCTTGCCTGGAGCATACCATGGACAGAGGAGTCTGGCGAGCTACAATCCATGGGAGTCACAAAGAGTCAGACACGACGGAGCACAGTCACAATATTGAGTGTTCACTTGTTCTGTGCCAGGCACCCATCTAAGCACCTCACGTGCTCCTTCATTCCTCACATTCCTTACCATCATCCTCATCTGATAGATGAGGAACCCAAAGCACCAGGAAGTTAGGAAAGAAGAGGAGGCCCCCCCTCCCCACCCCCTACCCCCAGCTAGTACACTGAGGTGGTGGGATTCCAACCCGGGACTCACTGACAATCCTCTGTAACGCTGGACAGAGACCGAGGCTGAGGAAGGAAGGGGCACCCAGGACGGCACAGAGCAGACCCGCCTCATCGGAGAGCCACCCCCACTCCAGGGAAGGATACTGGCCACCTCGAGGACGAAGCAGGCACTGCAGAGCACCAGGCGGAGCGGCCCGATCCAGGGAGCCCCAGGCTGGGGCAGGTTCTTCATCCGCCAGGAAAGGAAGAGCTGCAGCCAGAAGTATAAGATTCCCACGAAGAAGGCCAGGAAGGCGCCTGTCAGGTGTGTGGACCGCTGATTCTTCTCCTGGGAGGAGGAGGGCACAGAGTTGAGAGGCGGACGTGCGGAGAGCCAGGGGCCAGGCCCACTAGCTCGGGCTGTGCCGGAAGACTGCCTGCCATACCCGGCGACAGCCGTGTTGATTCGGTGCACTGGCTGTTTATTGTCCGCTCCACCCACGAGGGCCCCCATTTAAAGCTGCTGTTTCCTGCTGGCACCTCTATCCCTAAAACAGTGCCTGGCACATGGTGCGCACTAAGTGGCTTCTGTCCCGGCTAATTCTTTGCGGCCCCATGAACTGTATAACTCACCAGGCTCCTCTGTCCATGGGATTCTCCAAGCAAGAATACAGGAGTGGGTTGCCATGCCCTCCTCCAGGGGATCTTCCCAACCCAGGGATCCAAGCCCCCATCTCTTGTGTCTCCTGCATTGGCAAGTGAGTTCTTTACCACTAGTGCCACCTGGGAGGCATAATAGAGCCTCGCAAATATTAGGAGAATAAATACTTCATTCTCAGCCTCGGTGGGAGAGAGCAGATTATTGCCACTGCTGCTGCTGCTGCTAAGTCACTCTGTGCAACCCCATAGACAGCAGCCCACCAGGCTCCCCCATCCCTGGGATTCTCCAGGCAAGAAGAGGGTAAAAATTGGCTCTTGGAGGCTGAAAAAAAAATTTAAATATTGCAATGGTTTGTGCCTTACTGATATCATTTGTATTATATTTAAAAACTTTAATATGAAATATTTCATGGGTAACCCACTCCACTGTTCTTGCCTGGAGAGTCCCAGGGACAGGGAAGCCTGGTGGGCTGCTGTCTATGGGGTCGCACAGAGTCGGACACGACTGAAGTGACTTAGCAGCAGCAGCAGCATTTCATGGGTGAAGGGATGATTAGGAGAAAATGTCTAAAAGAGGCTTATGGAGAATTCCCTGGTGGTTCATTGGTTAGGATTCAGCACTTCCAGGGCTGCCCTGGTGGCTTAGACAGTAAAGAATCTGCCTGCAATGCAGGAGACCTGGGTTTGATCCCTGGGTGGGAAAGATCCCCTGGAGAAAGGAATGTCTACCCACTGCAGTATTCTTGCCTGGAGGATCCCATGGACAGAGGAGCTTGGTGAGCTACAGTCCATGGGGTCGCACAGAGTCTGACAGGACCGAGAAACTAACACTTTCACTTCTTTCAGTGCTTCTGACCTCAGGGGGCACAGGTTCAGTCCCTGGTGGGGAACTAAGATCCTGCATGCCAAGTGGAGTAGCCAAAAAAGAAAAAAAGGAAAGCTTCTGAGTGGAGGGCAGTAATGATTACAGGAAAAGAAAGGTTAAGGAACACGAGAATACATCAGTGAGTGAATGATTTGCTATGCAAATATGATGTGGAATTCTTACTAAGTTGTAGGCAGCCTCTTGTCTAAACACTGTGAAGCTCCCCTGGCCCTTTGGTAGGAGAAGTTTGGCATCAGAGGTAATCACAATAGAAAAATAAAAAGATAAATCAGATAGATTTCTCCTATCACTCATCCATTTACTTATTCTACCAATACCTACTGAGCTTCGTGGTTAAGAATGTGAGCTCTAAGAGTCAAGGAATCTGGGTTCATCTCTGACCACCAAGAACCTGGTAATAAAGAAATATCTCCGGCATTTGACCAAAAAGAACCTCCCGGGAGTTCTTGCGGAGATGGGTTAAAATAACCCAGCACAATGTAAAGATAATGCCTCCTACAGAGTGATCCACACTCTGGATCCGCGCTGTCACCCCCAAAGGTCTGGGTTCTATTGGTCTGGGAACTAGTATCCTCCGCTAAGCCGAGCGGTGCGGCCCAAAAAAAAAAAAAACGAGAAATTTCATCATTAGACGGAGGGGTACGGCAGTGAATTACCCCAGACTCCTCGGGGTCCACGGAATGATTACAAAGAGCCTCCTGCGCGATCTTTACTCAGAGAGCGGAACGCATCACTGCCTCCACGGCCCGAGAGCCACAGAGAAATACAAGTCCCAGGAGGCCGTGCGGGGAGCAGCCCTCTTCGATGAGGACTCTGCGCCCCGGAGGATGCTGGGAGTTGTAGTCCCACACTCCGGCCGGCTGGCCTACTCCGTCTCACCTGGAAATTGCCCACTATGGAGGTGCCCAAGGCACAGAGGAGCCCCGTCCACAGGATCACCTGGTTAGGCCACTTTCGGACGCCCCAGTCCCGAAGCTGGTAGTAACGGAGAATGCAGATCCAGGCGGCTGGGAGGAGAGGGAAGTTGGTGGGAGACGGGAGCCCCAGACTTGGGGGTAGGGCGTGGGTCCAGGGGTGGGAGCCCAACTCCAAGATTTGGTGGGGCGGAGGAGGCAGGGACCCCGACGGTCCTGGTTGGGCGGGGCTAGCACCTCATGAAAGCATGCGCAGAGCGTTTACCCGAAGCGGCTCCGAAGTTGAGCACCTGGCTGAAGATGCAGCTCTGGGGAGGCGCGTTTCCACACACACTGGGGGAAGATAAAGGCTCACCTCCTTGCTCCCTCCCGACCCCGGCCTCCCCGCCGGCGCCGTGACTACCTGATGTACGGGAAGCCTTCGGTGAGGTTCACGGCCTTGTTAACCACAGCCAGCGAGAACCTGGGGGCGGGACGCCAAGGTGAAACGAGGGCTTGCCACAACCCTTTTCTTTCTGTTTCCAGCACAAACCCGGGCTCCTCGCTCCCTCTCTCTCAGGCCCAGGAGACCAGTGCCCAGCCCCTCCTCCAGACCCGGGGATCCGGGCCCACAGCCCCTCCTCCCTCAGATCCCCAGACCCTCCCGCCTCAGGCCCGGGGGTCCAGGCCCCCAGCCCCTGCTCCCTCAGACCTGCGGTCCTGGCCCCCAGCCCCTCCTCCAGACCCTGGTCCAGACCCGGAGATCCAGACCCCCAGCCCCTGCTCCCTCAGACCTGGGGCCCTGGCCCCCAGCCCCTCCTCCAGACCCTGGGCCAGACCCGGAGGTCCAGGCCCTCAGCCCCTGCTCCCTCAGACCTGCGGTCCTGGCCCCCAGCCCCTCCTCCAGACCTTGGTCCAGACCCGGAGATCCAGACCCCCAGCCCCTGCTCCCTCAGACCTGGGGTCCTGGCCCCCAGCCCTTCCTGGCTCAGACGCAGGCATGTCTCCTGCCTCTAACACTCACGTGGTCCATTCCCTGGTGGTACAGTGGGTGGGAATCTGCCTGTCCATGCAGGGGACGCAGGTTCCATCTCTGGTCCCAGCAGATCCCACATGCTGCCGGGGACAAAACCCACGTGTGTGCCACAACTCCTGAGCCTGCTGCAACTACTGAAGCCCAAGCGCCCAGAGCCGGCGCTGTGCAGCCAGAGCAGCCACCATAAAGAGTCGCCCGGCTCACCGCAGCTAGAGGAAGCCTGCGGACAGCAGCGAAGACCCAGCACAGCCTGACATAAGTAAATAAATGGAAGAACACAGACACACACTCACACGGTCCAGATGCCAGCAATAGCCCCGAAGGCCAGGCAGATGGGCAGCAGAGACAAGTATCCCCACATGCCGGGGTCTGCAGGGGAGGAGCGGGGAAGGGACTGAGGTCAGCGCTGCCTCTGCGTCTCTGTCCCAGGTGAGGAACCGGCCCTAGGGGTTTAGGTGTGTCATATTCTGGGACCGTCTCTGAGGCCCTCTTTGGCTCCCAGGCATAAATAGTGGGCAAGTGTTCAGGATGATAACACCAGCTGTCTGCTTGGGGCACTTTCGCTTTTTTTTTTTTGCACAGTCCTTTATCCTGATGTCCCAGTGTCTCTTGGCTGTCCTGCCCCAACCCAGCTCCCAAGTCTCTCCAGCCCTTCCCCCAGTGCCAACCTCTGCCCGCCCCCCGCACCCCTCTGCCAGACGCTCACCGGGCCAGGCTCTCTCAGACTCTCTCGGTCCTGGGGCCGCGTGCGAGTTTGGGGAAGAAGGCTGAGGGGTGGGGCCGGGACTGTCCGCCCCCCAGCAGAGCCAAAGTCCATGATCGAACGCCAGCAGAACACTGTCAGGTCAAGAGGGTGACCTCCACTGTCCCGGGATTTCACCCTCAAACTAACTGCCCTTTCGGTCTCGGAGCGGACCGTGGCTTAGCTCGCAGGGCCCTCCAGCTCCCTTCCTCCAGCTTTCTAGCTTCAGCGTTCAGGCTCCCAGACGGGGAGTCCTCCCCAAGAACCAGAAATCTGAGCCTCCAGCTTTGTCCATCCTTCCTCCCTGGGGGACCCAGAAGTCCGGGCCTCCAGCCTCTCCCAGAGCACGCGCCATTGTCTCTAGCCCCTGCGGTCTAGCGTCCCTGCTGTTACCTCCTTGGGGCCGAGAACCCAGATCTACAGGGGCCCGCTCTGCCGGGTGCCGTTTCTGTGTGGACCTGGTGCCTGGATCCTGCCCACACTGGCCTCCCTGTTCCCCACAGCCAGGGGGTGAGTAGGGGGGTGATCCTTCAGAGAACGTCCCCGTCAGGAGAACCTCCCTCCCAGAAAACCGCTGCTTCCTCTGACCGTTTTCTTTTCTCTCCCACAGAACAGCTCTCCGCTTCCTGGCTTCCTCCCTTCTCACTACTCAGGTGCCTGGGCCCCGGCCCCCCTCCTGCGTCCCCAGGACCCGAGAGTCCAGGCCCCCGGCCCATCCACCCTCAGCCACAGGGAGTGTCTCTCCCTGAGACCCAGAAGTGCCAGCCACCCGCTCCCTCAGCTCCCCACCTCTTTTGATATTTTTATAATTGAAATAAAATTCACATAAGATTAACCATTTCACTTTATTTCATTGTGCTTTATTTAAGTTGTACTTTATTTGACTTTATTGCATTATGGTTTGCAGCACGTCGTGGCTTGTGGGATCTTGGTTCCCCGACCAGGGATGGAACCTGGGGCCCCCGGCAGTGAGAGCACCCGGTCCTACCTGCTGGAGGGCCAGGGAATTCCCTAACCATTTTAAATTATACAGTTCAAAAAAAAAAAAAATTATACAGTTCAGGGACATTTAGCTCATTCACAGTGTTTTGAAACCAGTACCTGTTCCTCACTCTGGAACTTTTTCACTACCCCAGGAGGAAGTCCCTTACCAGTTAAGCTGACACTCCCAGTTCCCTCCTCCCCACCCCTCAATCCCCTGGCCACATCCAAACTGCTTCCCGTCTCTATAGATTTGGCACTTCTGGACATTTCATATAAATAGTGTGTGCCTTTTCGTGTCTGGCTTCTCTCACTGTGCGTGATGTTTTTGAGGTTCATCCATGTTCCCAGGTGGGTAAAGAACCCGCCTGCCAGTGCAGGAGACGTCAGAAACGTGGGTTTGATCCCTGTGTGGGGAAGACTCCCTGGAGGAGGGCATGGCTACCCACTCCAGTGTTCTAGCCTGGATAATCCCATGGACAGAGGAGCCTGCTGGGCTGCAGTCCATGGGGTCACAGAGAGTCGAACACGACTAAAGTGATTTAGTATGATAGCACATTGTAGCACAGGTTAATGCTTCGTGCCTTTCCGTGGCTAAATATTTCATCAACGCCCCCCCATCACGGGGACTTCTGAAGCCTGCTTTTCCGTGGCTAAATATTTCAACAACGCCCCCCCATCACGGGGACTTCTGAAGCCTGCTTCTCTCATCCTTTGCTCTTACAGGACTTCCAAGTGCCCCAACAGCTAGGGTTGTCAGCTCTCAGATTCCTTGAGAGCAAAGACGAGAGAGCAGAGAAACAGACAGACGGGGATCACGAGTGTTTCTTGAAGGCGGAGGCCCAGTGACCAATGAAGAATGAGATCTCTCGGGACTTCCCTGGTGGTCCAGTGGTTAGGACTCTGCGCTTCCACTGCTGGGGGCACAGGTTGGAGGCCTGGTCAGGGAACTAAGGTCCCATAGGGTGCAGGGTGCAGTAAAACAAAAGAAGCCAGAACATGAGATGTTATAGTAGTGCAGAGCAGGGCAGGGTGGGCCCAGAAGGGGAAGTGGGTAACCAGCAGCGGTGGCCAGTGCCTGTCTGGCTGTGGGGGAAGTTTAGGACAATCTCACAAGCTATGCTTAGAGGAGGCAGGCGAGCTACAGGAAGGCTTTCTCAGCAGGGCCCAGGTGGTTCCTGAAACCTGGCCCCTGAGAGTTGAGTGCTTTTGTCTTTTGACCAAAATAGAAACGGCTAACCTGCGAGTTTCCATTTTATCTGGGGTCATGCTGAGTCCTGTGGCCCATGAGACCGCCTCTCAGGGAGTTCTCAGGATCTGATACCAGCATCAGTAATTTTGCAAAAGGGATTTGGGCAACCCAACAGATATCTCCTTAGAAGGTTGCTGCTAGTCACAAGGCACGGATACCTTAGTTAATGACTTCAGTGCTTTTCGAAGCAGAAGAAGGTGCAAGAATTTGGGCTGGTAACATTTTTTTCCTGAAAATATCTGAAGACCTGTTCTTCCGGTTTTCCCAGAGTGCAGAGTGCCTCATCCAAGGGTGTTAAAGGTTAGTGACTCCAGTTAAAGGTGGGTTAAAGGTTAGCGACTCCAGTTAAAGGTGGGTTAAAGGTTAGTGACTCCGGTGGCTGACCCCTCGATGCTTCTAGACTCAGGTGGAGAGCAACATTCCTTAGGGGGCAGTCTGCTGGGTTCCAGAGTGTGGGACCCACTAGGAGAAATGAGCCAGGACCCTAAGTTCTCAGTCATCACAAAGGGCTTGGATGTCATCCTGAGAGTATTGGGGAGCCATGGAAGGTTCTTGAGCAGGGAAGAGAGAGGAGCTGACACTGGTGGTGTGTAACCATGAAAGAGATGTAAGACGTGTTAACTCATCTTATGTGTCAGGCCCTGCCCTGTGTTAACTGGGACCCCCTGCTCCACGGGGGTTAACTCACTAATTCTCACGACAGCCTGAGTTGTCATTGCTGGAGTTATTCACCAGATCCCCTAATCCTCATGAAAGTAGAATTCCTGGTTTCTTGACTCACTTCTACATCACACACACACACACACACACACACACACAGAGCCCAGCGACCTTGAGGATGAAGCACCTGGAATAATTCCACAGTTCACACCTCTAAGCGATACCCCAGAAGATCCCGAAATTTCAACTCCACAAGCAGCTCGGTGAGATTGGTTTCGAATTGCAGTTAAGAGCTGGGTGCCTGTAGAGAGCCCTGCAACGGTTGTACCAGTAAACCACAAGCACAGTGGCTTAAGGCAACACAGATTTATTAGCTTCTGGTTCCAGAGGTCAGAAGTTGGAAACAAGTCTTTGTCCCTGTAGGCTGAAATCAAGGGGCAGGCGGGGCAGGCAGGGCTGCGTTCCTTCTGGAGGACCCGTTTCCTCGTCTTTCCCAGCTTCTGGCGGTGCCCACATCCCTTGGCTCGGGGTGCCTACCTCCCTCTGCGCGGTGGGAGGTACTTCATCACCACACCTCCTTCTCTGACTCTGACCCTTCTTGCACTTGTGAGGACTCTGTGGTTATGTTGGGCTCACCCTAAAAATCCAGAACAACCTCCCCATCTCAAGACCCTTAATTTAACCTCATCTGCAAAATCCCTTTCGCTGTGGAAGGTACCATTGACACCCGTCCTGGAGATCAGGATGGACACAACCCAGGGAGGGGGGCGGGGTGGGGGGTGCTGGATACCACCCGCTGCTCACTCCCAACGGGAGCAGCGGACCCCCCCAAACACACCTTGCCCCATCTGTGCTAGTGCCTGTCTCATTCCTGCTCCTCCTTCTTTCTTTTTTTATTTTTATTATTTTTTTTTCCATTTATTTTCATTAGTTGGAGGCTAATCACCTTACAACATTGCAGTGGTTTTTGTCATACATTGAAATGAATTAGCCATGGATTTACATGTATTTTAGGTTACTAACTTCTCTGTATCCCAGCTTATGGCTTAATTTCTTTTAAAAATATTTATTCACTTATTTGGCTGCACCAGTCTTAGTTGCAGCGTGTGGGGTCTTTAGCGGGGGAGTGAGAAGTCTTGGTGGTGGTGTGTGGGATCTAGTTCCCTGACCAGGGATGGAATCCAGGCCCACTCAGCATTGGGAGTGTGGCGTCTCAGCCACTGGACCACAAGGGGAGTCCCTCCTGTGTCTCTATCAAAAGGAAACAAAGATGCCGACCTCCAGGTGATCCTAGGCAAGAACACCCCCCCCCCCACTTCCCATGGTCTGGGCCTTGGTACCCACATGCCCACATTGGCACAGAGGCTAGGCTGACATGTGTCCCCTGCAGTGCCTGTAGCAGCCTCAGGACAACCCTGTGAGGACCCAGGGGCAGGGAAAGGCAGCTCTGGGGGCTGCTTTCAATGTGGGCACCAGGCTCGGCCCATGTCCACGTGCACACTGGGGGCCTGGAATCTTCTGGATCTTTCTGCTACCCTGGTTCAGCTGAGGGGAGGAGGCCCCAGAGGTCCTCCTCTGGATGAGACCATACTACACTTTCACTTTCAGGAATCTTTCCCTTCCGCTAATGATCGGATCATTTTCTCCAGAAAAGGGAAACCACCCACTTCGGGGATGGAGGCCTCTAGGCGTTTGTCTTCTCATCTGTAAAAGCAAGGGTCACAATGGTGCCTCCGTCTTGAGGTTCAGGAGCGAGTCCACCGGGCTTCCCTGGCGGCTCGGTGGTAAAGAATCCGCCTGCCAGTGCAGGAGACGCGGGCTCCATCCCTGGTCTGGGAAGATCCCACAGGCCGCAGAGCGGCAAAGCCGGCGAGCCACGACTACAGAGCCGGTGCTCTAGAGCCCAGGAGTCACAACTGCTGAAGCCTCCACGCCTAGAGCCTGTGCTCCGCAAAAGTGAGCACCACCCCCCCCAACACACCACAGCTAGACAAGAAGCCTGCATGGCAGTGGAGACCCAGAGCAGCCAAAATTAAATAAATACATAATGTACACATGCACACACACACACATATGGGCTTCTTTGGTGGCTCAACAGCAAAGAATCTGCCTGCAATGCAGGAGATGTGCGTTTCATCCTTGGGTCGGGAAGATCCCCTGGAGGAGGAAATGGCAATCCACTCCAGTACTCTTGCCTGGAGAATCCCCATGGACAGAGGAGCTTGGCGGGCTACAGTCCATAGGGTCGCAAAAAGTCAGACGCAACGACTGAAGTGACTGACCTCACGCGCGCACACACACACACACAGAGAGGACATGTTTATATATAAGGAGTGAGTTCATGGAGGGACTTGAGCGGTTCTGGCACACAGCGAAAGCAGCACATGGTTCGGGTCTTCAGGTTGACGGCGGCTCCAGGAGGTGTTCAGAACCCCCACACAGCTTCCTGCACCCCTGAGAGGTTGGGCTGCTCTGTAGGGTGGAGAGCTGGAGCTCAGAGCAAGAGGCTGGTGGCGTGGCCGGCTCTTCCAGGAAGCAGATGCTGCTGTGGTGTTAGCAATGCAAGGGATTTATTGGGATGACATCAGTGTTTCTGAACTGTGGTGCTGGAGAAGACTCTTGGGAGTCCCTTGGACTACAAGGAGATCCAACCAGTCCATCCTAAAGGAAATCAACCCTGAATATTCACTGGAAGGACTGATGCTGAAGCTGAAGCTCCATTACTTTGGCCACTTGATGCAAAGAGCTGGCTGGCTCACTGGAAAAGCCCCTGATGCTGGGAAAGATTGAAGGCAGGAGGAGAAGGGGGTGACAGAGGATCAGATGGCTGGATGGCATCACCGACTTGATGGACATGAGATTGAACAAGCTCCAGGAGTTGGTGATGGACAGGGAGGCCTGGCGTGCTGCAGTCCATGGGGTCGCA